TATATATATATATGTTAGTGTGTGTAGAGACACACACGCACCATGGCTTTTCTTGTAATAAAAAGGTAGACTTTAATAGAATTATTGATTAAACCTGACACACAGTCATGAGTGTCTCTGATTCAGGGACTGAATGCTGGCCAAATGGGTGCCCTAAGCAGAATTGTATTGTTGTGCCCCCTCCCCCAAATATTTTGGAAATAATAAAAAAAAACACCTACTATAGGTCTCAAAATAGAACTTTAATAAAATATAAAAGTAAATCAATAAATAAATTGTAATTAAATTGTATTATTTACAGATTACAATTGTAGCTCTACAGCAAAAAACAAACCAAAAAAAACTAAAATTACACACATTAAATAAAACATTTTAAAAGATTAAATATTATCAAAATAAACATAAATTGAATAAAAAATTAACCACAGTGGCTATTTGCACTAAGTGTAAATATATATATAGCGATAGAGGCTATTTGCACTAAGTGAAAATAGCATTTTTTTTAAGCGATAGATGCTATTTACACTAATTGCAAATAGCAGTATTTTCTTAGCGATATGCTATTTACACCAAGTGCAAATAGCTATAGATTCCATTTACACTATAATTAAAATAGCAGGATTTTCTGCTATTTTACTATTATTTCTACTATATTTTTTTTTTGAGCAACTGGGATAGTGCGCCCCCTGGGAGTTGGTGCTCTATGCACTCTGCGTAGGTACTGCTCTGATTGATTGATTGACTGACTGACTGCTGCATTTTGGTTGCATATGACTTCAGTTTCAGAAAGAAAAAAAAACATTAATATTAATAACAATTACAAAAAAACTCCTTCCCTGCTCATGTTTTTTTATCTTTTCTTTTTTTTTAAGAAATAATAGTAAAAGATTATGCCAAGGTTTACTTTCAAGACAACACTTTTTACTTAATTATAATATAGGGACAGTTGTATCAAACAACTTGATTTTATGTTGACTAAAAATATTTAAATTCAGTTTAATTTAGAAATTAAAAACATGCTCAACATAGAATGGGTCTATGGTTCACTATACAGATGAGTTGCATTTTTCATGTATTTCTTAAAAATCATTAATAGATCAAAATGAGCATCATGTCATTGACCCCTATACACATACAGTTCTTATTTATCTAATCACCTAATATTTTTTTAATAAATTAAGCAAAATTGCAACTGAACTTGATAGATAAAAATGATCACCATGTAATTTCCTTTTCTGAAAAAGAGTAGCAATGACATTTGAATATTTTTTTATGTGGGAAGAAAAGAAGGAAAGGAAAGGAACACAAAGTTTGTGCTTACTTGAAAACATTACATGCTCAGTTAGTACATTATGTGTCCAATTACTATTAATATTGCTGATGCTGTTATGGTCACCATAGCATTAAGGTATGTGTAATGCAATCTTTTGGTGTGCCAAATAAAATTAAGCAGGATCCCCTGGCACATGCAAATAAGGTTTCAGGCAGTGAAATTACCATCAAGAGGAGAATTAATTGCAGACTTCAGCAAAAAAAAACATCCTGCATATTAACTAAAATGGAATTGCAACTTGCAAATAAATCACAAAATACATGATTAACATCAGTACTAAGAACCATTAACTGCAATCTCAGTTAAAATGTACATTTTTCATTGAGTTTCTTGTCATATCTGCACATCAATGCAATAAGAGAAAACATTAACATTAAACAATTAAACACTTAACCTTTAATGTAGATGACATTCCAGACATTAATGAAAGGCTGTCTCTTAGTGAACATCTCTTAGTGAACATGTTCCAAATGGCTTTAGGTTTATATTTATTTCTTCACAAACAATTAATTTCCTGAGTAAGCCTTAATGCAGATGAGGGTGCAATTGACTGTAAGGACAGCATGTTTGATTCATTGTGAAACATAACAGAATTAATGCCTTACGATATCAATAATTCTTTGCAGTAATGTTGTACTCAGACAACAAGGATTCTGGAGGTGCACGGATCAATAACAGCTGTGGTTAATGGGCCTCCAGGAGAGAGTGTGCAAGTACAAGCGCATTCCCACGTGTAGGTTATCAGCAGTAGCATCACTTTGGCTCTGCTTTGTAATCCAATAGAAAATTCTCTCCGTCCATTTCAACGTATGACACCTCGTAAAGCTCATTTTCAAAGCACTGCTCACTTTCACATTTGCCCTCACTGCCTCACCCCTCCACCCCAACAGCTTCCCTGTCAAACTAGCCAGCGACAGCTCAACAGCCCAAAATAGTAGCACTCCTGATCTAACAGCATGTTGCACACACTGCTGCATCGCCACAGTAGTTCTTTTTGTGTCTAAGCCATACAGAGTGGTCAACCCTGTTTGTGACTAGCCTCAATTTTCCCCACTCATTTGTTATAACACATTCAATCAAAGTCATTTCTTTGGAAGGAGGGAGGGGGGAGCTTTTTGAAATCATTTTTCCACTAAGTCGACTGTGATTTCACCAAGTAGTGTGTTCCAGGATCAACATCCTTGTCAGACCAAGGGCTGACAATGCCAGTGTCATTTGCAACTTAGCAGACGTGATTGAAAAAGCTACACAAATCCGTCAGTAATGAGTGCGGCTGGTGTAAACAGTGGTAAAAGCGAGCACTGCTTGCTTTGTATATCCACAATTCTAGCTCTTCCAGTTTCCCTGTTTGAATGCCGAGCATAGACTACTGCCACCGGCTGGTATGGGAGAGTTATGTTCTCTTACGCAAGCGCAGAGCATACACTTTAGTTGGCAGTTGGCCGTTGGCTGTAGTCTGTCCGGTGTGTTCACATGCAACTTTTTTTTCCACGAGGTGACGCCACAGTCAGCTTTACCATTCTTTACCACTGGTTTGGTGTGTCCCTACTCTAAGACTTCAAGCCCCAATTTACTTCAAGCGAAATCGAAGAACGAACTGGTGTGAAGTCATTCCGAACAGAATCAAGCTAAAAGTTCATTTGGAGGTTGTTTTTTATTTTTTCTCGAAACAGCTGTTTGAAAGAAGTCATTTTAACTTTATCTATTTACATTTTTAATGTTGCTAGTGTGCAGGAATTACACACTGAACAAATTCAATTTATATCCTGTGTTTCAATTATCATTTTAGTATCTATGAGGGTTAGGGTTTATGGTTAAGCCTTCAATTTTATCAACCTTTCATTTCACTCTAATTTTAATTGTACTTTATCCCTGCTGACAAAAACAGCTAAAACCACCCTATACTGCTTGGCTGGTCTTAGCTGATTTAAGCTAGACATAGCTGGTTTAAACTGGTCAAACTGGTATTTTATCTGGTTGGTCAGCTTGTCTCCCAGCTTGACCAGCTAAGACCAAACTGACCAGTTAAAGAAGTGGTCCTAACCTCTCTAAAACCAGCCTGCTGCATCAGTTATGACCAGGCTGGAAGACAAGCCAAAACCAGCCAACCAAGCTGGTTTTAAGCTGGTTTAGCTGATGTTAAGGAACAACAATTGGAATCCTTAGCAAAAGATGTTGACCCAGGAACATGTCATACTTTGCAACATCACATTTATGCTGTGATTGCCGCAACAGAGTCTGGGGTTTTGACTGTAAGTGGGCTAGCTGAGGTCTATTTTGGCCTACCCATTGTTCTCAATGTGTAAAGATCGATGACAAGTGCCACTTTCCAGCTTCTTCATTAAACTCTCCTGACACTAACTTCTTTTCCCCAGGCATTATCTCAACCCCTGCTGCTCGAGATCCCAGAGCAGCACAAGGATAACAGAGTGTTTCCACACTACGGCTTATGCCTGCAGCACCGGCAGCAGCAGCTTTATCACATCCTCCCTCTTCTCATGATGGCTGATTTGAGGAGAGTTTTCACACATACACCAGCAATATGGCTCTCAGCTACTTCTATATTACAGTGAGTGATCATTACAAGAGAACTTATGCTGCGTTCCATTCAACTCAGAATGTTCTGAATTCCTACTTTGAAAAATGCAATAGAATGGCATTTTAAGTCAAACTTAAAATGTAAAATGGTGAGTTAAGGATCCTGTGCGTTTACTTCATGTCAGAATTATGGAACTACCTCAATTACGGAATTACCATTATTGCGAGATGTAGTCATAAGAAAGTACTCACATCCTCATAGAGCTCATAATCACACCTTGTAAACTCAGA